CTTTCATGGGCAGCAACATAGACGATTCATATTACAGAATCCACTTTATACTATGACAATGCTCCTGATTTCTCCATAATATTTAACCCTATAATTACAAAATGCCTTTATCTTCATTCCCGCACAAAGTATCACACCTTTTTCTCAAATGTAACTAAGGATGAACTAGGAAGCAGGCACTGGAATACAGATCGCAACTTTACCGAGGTGGTAGGTCGGGAAGAATTTTAGCCCCGGTTTCTTCTCTCCCGAACTCCAGTCACTTCCCAAATGTAATGCAATTATTTGTGTGCTTGTTTCCTCTCTAGACTGTGAGCTCTTTGAGAGTAGAGGTCATACCTGAATTATCCATCTAGCCTGGTGCCTGTAAACTGCTCAAAAAATGTATGGTGGCAAATGCTGTCCACCTTCAGCTGGGTACTCAGGAGCCCTCACTCTGTCTCCGAGAGCATAGAGGCAAGGCTGAAGCAGAGTCAGAGCCCGGACCCAGGGCCTAGCCCCTTGAGGACAGCACAGCCAGAGTGTTGTCTGAGCGATCTGTTTCAGTGCCCCCAGATTGTTTCCTTCCTTTTCTCTTTGCCCCCAGTAATCCACTGGCCCCTTTCCTGGAACACAGCCCCCCGCCCCCCATAAACAGGACCAAGGGCTTTAACCATCCTTAGAGAAGATGCCTGGTCTTTCCTCCGGGCAAGCCCCTGGGGAACAGAGTCTGATCCGAACCAAGCAGCCAGATCATCCTTCCTTCATTCATGGGACACTCCCATTGCAAATGGTCTGAAGAGGGGAAAGAACATCATGTTGGGCACACATTTGTCCTTAGCAAGAGAATCTTGGCATCAGAGCAACAGTGCGTAAAAGACATGAAGGGATCCATCCAGCGATGCAATTATTCTAGCAGTAATTATTCTTACTACGTCCTGCTTCTATGTGGATTACTGCAGGATCTTGATTTCCTGATTGCTGCTTTAGGGGTGGGGGTGGGAGTGCGGGTGGGGCACAATTCAAGCATAAGGGATCCTAGGCCCCAAAGAAAAATGTAAGGAATCTTATACCTTCACCCCAGAAATACATTTCACCCTATGGTAGTTTCTCTAACAATTTGGGTAGCATCCCTCTTGTGAGGGCAAGAACTCAGAAGCGCCTCAGAATTTACAGTTAAGGTTACAGAGGTATTTCTCAGTGTAGTTTGGTCAAATGTGTGCGAAGAGAAACATGTTAAGTCTGAAACATTAAAAAAAAAAAAAGAGTTGGCGCTTGGGTGGCTCACTTAAGCGTCCGACTTCGGCTCAGGTCATGATCTCCTGGTTTGTGGGTTCCAGCCCCGTGTCGGGCCCTGTGCTGACAGCTCAGAGCCTGGAGCCTGCTTTAGATTCTGTGTTTTCCTCTCTCTCTCTGCTCCTCCCCTGCTCATGTTCTCTGTCCAAAATAAATAAATATGTGAAAAATGTTAAGAAACATGTTAATTCTGGAGTAAGTCTTGTGTAAAACAGTTTTCTGTACCTATGCCTTAGCCTTCTTGTCCTTAACTGAAACAAAATAAATACAGTGAAGAAAACCTTCTGCAGATTCAGGCTCATTTATCTAACTTCTCAAATGGCCCCATTTTTACTTCCTTCCTAAAGGTCCACGTGATCCTTAAGGACCCACGTGACAAGAATAGGGCTGGAGGCCCGACAAGTACATGACTAAACTTTCTCACCTACCAACTCTGTTGAATCTGGAACTGTTTGGAAAGGCCAGTCAGTGAAAACCCTATCCCCTCACTAGTTAGGCTCCTGTTTGGGAACAGTAAATCTATTTCAGTAGAACTCCTACTGAACGCTTACTTACCTTTTTCTTCTGGGAAAAGAGCCATTCCTATTTGCAAAATCAAGACAATCACAGTTGCGCGTTTTCCCAAATCTTTGGCTGTATTGCAATGGTTGTTTCATTTTGTAATCTCCAACTAAACATTTCCTAACCATGGATTAACAATATAGTTACTGACTGGTTTCTTTTAACAGTATTTATCCAACATAACAAAATAAACTGCGATTTGTTATACTTTTTTTTACAAAACATTTTATAAATATTTTTACAAAATGTATACAAAGCAATTTCAAGTGAGACATACTATACAAATGAAGGTATTTAAGCAAATAAAGCCCACACCACACTGACAGTGAGTGACGCATCCTCTATAAGTCAAGTCAGTCTGTAAGGCCTCCCTAATCTAACAAAATCTACTAAATTCTTCAGAGCTAAAATAGTTCTTTTCGTAATTGCCAGTTTAAAATTTGCTTTATCTTTAGGCAGTACTTAAGGACACAGAAAATCAAATGCTTAATAACAAATGCACACTTTTCCACAACAGAAAAAAAAAAAAAAGATGATGATTTTTGTTACTGAGTACAAGTAGTTCTAAAAAATTAACCTTGACTAATGAACCTGAACAACTCAAAGCTGGCCGTCCGAGGCGGAGCCCTCTGGCCCTTAGCCAGAGGGGGCTCCACATGCGAGTTATGACCCATGTGTGCAAAACCTAATCACAGGAGTAAAATACATTTCGTAATCTTCATTTGTCATTATCTAGAATCTTTCCTCCATAGAAAGTAAACTTACATACAAGGACACAAAAATTTACAAGTTTCATTTTGGTAAATTAGGCTCTCCATTTGCTAGACAAGTGTTAGGGCTCAAAAGACCCTTTGAGATGGTATACAGAAAGGCTGGGATTGGGGTAGCAGGACAGGATGGGGAAGAAAGGGAGGTGATGAATGTACATGAAGCTTATCTTTTAAGAATTCCACTGATTGGCAATAATTAACGTAACTCATCAGTAGCCTACGTGAAGGCTTCCGGGTAGAAAGTTCCACCATGAGAAGAATTTGATTAGGAGGGACCACCTTTAAGTCTTGCTAGGAATGAGGGGAGCATGAGTCCTAAGAGAAGAAGAGCCTATAAAATCATGGGGTTCAGGGCAGGGTGTTACCCCAGGCGGCCCAAACAGAAAGTTCCAACTGGCAATACCAACTTATCCTTCTAATATGTTACAATACAGGAAAAAAGGGGAAATCTGCAATTTGGACGTTGGCACAAATAAGGAAAACATGGGAACCCTAAAATGGCCCAGATTTTCCAAGTTCTATTGGCCGGCGGGTGGGGGTGGGGAGAAGGAACTTCGCTTTTATGAAGGCTGGCTGGCTGAGAGAGGTTTCTTTGAATGCAGGGACAGAGGGGCAGGGAGAGAGTCTGGGTCTTCCGTTGCCGTGTTTTCCAATAATCAGAAGCCTTCCTTTCCAACGCAGGCCAATCTGGAAAAGAAGCGCCCAACATGATGACAATGGGGTCATCCCCATTCTGGCAACAGCCAGAAACAGGTGCTGGCAATGCGTCAGAGTGGAGACCAGTGAGTGCAACCCCTCAAGCCAGAGAGATCAACAGGATAAATGAGAGAGTGCGTGCACATGGGAGGAAGAATGGGTGGGTCCACACTGTCACCAGAATGACCTGATCTCAATAGCTCAGATACATGCACGCGCACGTGGGGCAGAGTGCATAGGAAATACCGTTATGTCGCTTTCCCAATGACAGGAGAGAAGGGCTGGTTACAATGACACTGGGAATGAAGGTAACAGCCGAGATGGGATGAACTGGGGCACGAACACAAGGAAGGAAAACGGGGAAAGCTCCCTGAAAAGAAATATAAATAAATAAAGCAGTAAGTCATGTTCACTAATAGGAACACGGGCCACACACAGACCGTGACAGGGCGTGTCCTTTGGCTCTCAAGTGGGAATCCCGTGTCTCAGCTCTTTTCTTTCAGTGGGGGGCTGGCTGGTAACTTTGGTTTGTCTGTGTTTTGGTAATGATTGCTGCCGGGGGGTGACTACTGTTCTCAGACAAGAAGCATAAACAAGGCCAAAGTCCCCTTAGAGTTTAAACTGAAGTATTACAACACAGTTTTCAAATGAAAGTGCTTTGGACGCTTGGCTATTTGTGGGAGAGGGTGCGGAGAGGTTAAATGAAAGGAAACCCAGCAACAAAAACGTACAGCATACGTTGACTATATCCAATTACAAAATGCAAAACGCTTGTTTTTTTTCTCAATAGTTAACATATATATGCTTTTACATATATACATAGTATACTCCTCAAGGCTCTCTCCCGGCCTCCCCTGTACACTGTGCCACTTAACTGGTTTCCATTTTCCTTTATTTCAGCCTGGTGAAAATTTTCTCAAGTCGTGCCGTTGCAACTAAGAACAGAGCATTCCCTAGATGAAACTCAACACGCGTATGCCGAAAAGCATGAGGTTTTGCTCCAGGAGCATCGGAAAAGCGCTCAGACGATGAACAAGGAAGCCCTGCGAATGCCCTGCTTGTGTGCTACTGGCTGCTTCCTCGGGGCTGTGGGGTCCCTGGCGGAGCAGCCGGCAACTTACTGCTCAGAGGTGGCCCGGGGCGGGGCGCGGGGGGTGGGGTGGGGGGGACAACCGTGCGGTCTCCCCTCCAACAACAACAACAACAAACCCAAAACAACGAAATTTGGAGATGCAGTGGGACATTCTTTCACAAAGTAGCTTCTATCAGTCCTGTTTGATTTTCTTTAATAAGTCTGTTCTTTTCAAATGACTTAATGATTGTCAGAATTTTACCGAGGGCCAAGTGTACTGTGATCTCAGTGAGTTATGGTGTTTTTTTTAAAAAAAAAATAGTAATAATAAAACAAGTAAACAAACACACAAAGAAAATGACTATAAGCACTTTCGTAACACTTGAAATGTGTAGGGCCTGTCAGACTGCTTTCTAACAAGGATTAATTTCACGAAAGGATCTCCCTGTAACCACCACGAGTATTGCTCTTAAACAAAGAATGGGATTGAAGATCAGAAAGAATAACCTGTGATGAAAGGTCAAGCAGGCTGGAGACAGGAGAACACTTCCATTTGCTTTTGCCAGGAAAGAATGTAACTTGTCCGGGGCGGGGTGTCGGGGCGGGGTGGGGGAGGGCTGCTGCTATTAACACTCTAAGATACTATTTACAGCTGCTTCTAAAATGGAGTCGGTTTCTACAATGCCTTCACTGTGGTCCGGGATGAACTTTTCCAGGCAGTTTTCCTGCGAAGCCATTGGAGAAAAGTTGGGGAAATCTAACTCAACAGAGCCGCTAACCGTGGGGTCACTCTGGGGCTGCCGCCCAGCCTTTTTGAGTTCCAAGATGTTCTTAAATGTTGTTTCTAAACTCTTAGTGAGCTGGAGGTCTGGCTGGGGCTCGCCCGACCCTTTCATGATGTCTGTGTGTAAAACTTCATTCTTTGGAGAATTCCTCAGAGTTTTGTCCTGGAAGGAATTGTTACACGTCATCTCCAAGTGAGAATCTACTAGGATGCTTGAGAGTTTGCTCTCAGTACCGTGATCTGGTCTGGATGAGGTTTTCCGGTGCCCTTCGGGGCCGGGAGAGCACTCGCTGGTCTTCGTGGACTCTCTCCGGCTTGTTTTCTCTTCGGATGCACTCCGGTACTGTGCTAAGCCCACTTTGTCAAATTTCAGTGCTCTGCCGAGGCATTCAGTTTTTTTAGAAACGTTTCCTTCTGCGGAGACCACGATGTGATTAGGCACTAGATGAAACTGGTCATGATTCGTCGGTTCTCGGCTTTGGGCCTTGGCTGTCAGGTGCAGAGAGCTGGGCGCTTTACTGCCATGCTGGTCACTCCGGCCAAACTGTGTCTCATGAGCAGCTTTATCAGGTTTGAAGGAACAACAGAAATCAGCCTGAAAACCCTCTGGGAATGGGAGCAAAAAGAACACTAATGAGTGAATGAGACAGGAAGAACTATATGGCAGACCACCAGTGGGTCAAGTGCAAATCCAGCCGAGCCCAGCAAACCAGTCTTTCGTGTCCAGGAACACGCAGAAGCACCGCACTTGAGGGGGCTTCCTGTGAAAGTAACCATGGCTTCCAGACAAGAAGCTTAAACCTCTTTGAAAAAGTAGCTGCTTGGTGGGTGACAAATGGGAAAACCAAACAGGCAAAACCTCCACTTTGTCTTGATATCTTAGTGTTCTCTCTCTCTCTCTCTCTCTCTTTTTAAAGTTTATTTACTTATGTATGTAAGTAATCTCTATACCCAACTTGGGGCTCAAACTCACAACCCCAAGATCAAGAGTGTTCTGATCCAGCCAGGCACCCCTCTTAGTGTTATCTTTAGCTAGTTTTTTAATTACTGCTCTGAAATAGTCTGAAAACAGAAATTAGATGCTAGTATCAGCTTGGTTTCTCCCTTGGAGCAGAGGGCTGTGGAATGAGGCTTTAGGGCAGGGTGGGAGTAGATACAACTACTTCTGTCTTTGGGTGATGGCATTTCGGTCCCTATAGACACATGTAAGGGGACCTGGAGTTATAGCTGCACTTTGCCAGGACCACAAAACAAATGGTCAACACGATTCCAAAATGACACCTGCTTGGAAGGACAATGATGTATGGAAGAACCAGGTCTATGAGTGAGCACTGGACTGTGCCAGGCTTGAAGAGCCCAGGATGACACGAGAAATTTATGAGGATTTAGGAGGTTGAGGGCACGGAAGCAGACTGCTGTTACAGAAGAGGAGAAAAAGTGAAATAGGGCTTTAATGACATCTGTAGAATCAAAATGTGAATTTCTTCATCAAATCACAAAATACGAGATGTAGGGGATACAGCCTTGAAATGTACAAAGAAGACTCCAGGGGTGCCTGGTGGCTCACCTGATGGAGTGTCCAACTTTGATTTTGGCTCAGGTCATGATCCTAGGGTTGTGGGATTGAGCCCCGTGCTGTGTGTGAAGCCTGCTTAAGATTCTCTCTTTCTCTCCCTCTTCCCCTCTCCCCTGCTTGTACTCTCTCTCTCTCTCTAAAAAAGTTTAAAAATAATATTTAAAAGGAAGACTCCAGGGGCACCTGGGTGGCTCAGTCGGTTAAGCATTGACTTTGGCTCAGGTCATGATCTCACAGTTTGTGAGTTCGAGCCCTACATCGGGCTCTGTGCTGACAGCTCAGAGCCTGGAGCCTGCTTCGGATTCTGTGTCTCCTTCTCTCTCTGCCCCTCCCCTGCTTGTGCTCTGTCTCTTTCTCTCTCTCTCAAAAATAAATAAACATTAAAAATAAATAAATAAATAAAAAAAGAAGACTCCATCCGACAAACACTGGCTGTGCAGGCACAATACAGAGGGGGGTGAAGGTGACATGCAGGTCTGGGGGGCTGTGATGAAGTAGGAAGATTTATCCATACGCTCAACTCATCAAAAGGCAATAGGAGATTTCAAGTTCTAAGAAAAAGAGATAGAATTATATCCTACATCATTCTTTTCCTTTTTGGAAAGATTTGAGGATTCTCCTAAGTACACAGCATTTCTTTCAGATGCTCCCTTCAGACTGAGTGTAAGGATCATTTATTCTCTTTAGAAATTTCATGAGCCACGTCAGACACAAGGCAGAACCTTAATCTTTAACAACTGGAAAAGAAGTTAGGGGAATGGAAATAAAGCCACTGGAAAATAATAGTCCAACAGTAGGGGAATGGAGTAGCTAAATTCTCAAATTAAAGTTACAAAAAATTTATTAGATATTATTTTGAAGACTCTAGCAAATGATAAGGACTTCAGATATGTTAAATGGAAGCCAATTAGAATAACAAAATCATATTTAGCATATGACATATGGTTATAACTATACATAAATGATGCATGCAAATAGGAACCGGAGCTGGAAGGAAACTTGGAGAAATAAAAACTTTTCTTCTATAGGATGGTGCAAGTATGGGTAAAATTTATATTCCATGAACTGTGATAATGATATTTGATTTAAAACATTTCAGGAGCGCCTGGGTGGCTCAGTCGGTTGGGCGTCCGACTTCGGTTCAGGTCACCATCTCACAGTTCATGGGTTCGGGCCCTGCGTCGGGCTCTGTGCTGATAGCTCAGAGCCTGGAGCCTGCTTCGGATTCTGTGTCTCCCTCTCTCTCTGCCCCTCTCCTGCTTGCATTCTGTCTCTCTGTCTCCCCAAAATAAAAAAAAAACATTAAATAAAAAAAAAACATTTTAGAGCCCAGGGGCACCTGAGTGGCTCAGTCTGTTAAGTGTCCAACTTCAGCTCAGGTTGTGATCTCACAGTTCATGAGTTCGAGACCCACATCGGGCTCTGTGCTGACAGCTCAGAGCCTGGGGCCTACTCTGGAATCTGTGTCTCCCTCTCTCTCTGCCCCCCTTCCCCTTGCACTCTCTCTCAAAAATAAACATTAAAAAAATTAAAAAAAATTTTTTTAGAGGCCAGAGAAATGTAAGGAGATTCTTATTTATTTGGAGGATTCTTTTTTTTGTTTGTTTTCCTAAGATTTTATTCTTAAGTAATTTCCACACCCAACATGGGGCTTGAACTCACAACACTGAGATCAAGAGTCACGCTCCACTGACTGAGCCAGCCAGGCGCCCTGGGAGGATTCATTTTTATTTCGTTAAGAAAATTTTTTTTAAATGTTTATTTTTGAGAGAGAGAGTGAGAGAGCGCAAGCACATGCGAGCTGAGGTGGGGCAGGGACAGAGAGGGACAGAAGATCCAAAGCGGGCTCCATGTTGACAGCAGAGAGCCCCATGTGGGGTTCCAACTCATGCACAGTGAGATCATGACCTGAGCTGAAGTCAGATGCTTAACCAACCAAGCCACCCAGGTGCCCCGGGAGGATTCATTTTTAAAAGGCAGATTGTGGGTCAAATCTAATGGCATTCTGTAGGGACCAAGGGCAGGCCACCCCAATAACACAATGGCATACTGATTATTTTGGATTAAAACTACTTAAAAAAACAGCTTGTACAAGGATACTCTGACCCTCCTTGGCTCCCTGAGAGCAGGAAATAAATCCCCCATGTGAAAGGTGCCCTCCCTGTACCAAGAGGCAGAGAGATATCCTCATCACCAGAAACATGGAATTCAGGGCCAAGAAGGATGTATGAACAACCCTTGTTACTTTTCACTAATTTACTACTCCAGTCCAAATTCTGTTTCGAATTCCTTACTAAGTGAAGTCTCAGAGTTAAGTCTCTTTATCGTATCAATTCCTCAGAGATTTATTGTCTCTTTGTCTAAAAAGTAGAAAAACTGCTTGCCTTGGTTACTCTTTGAGTCTCAACTTCATTATTGGACCTTTGTACACATGTAATAAAACTTTTTTGGGGGCGCCTGGGTGGCTCAGTCAGTTGAGCCTCTGACTTTGGCTCAGGTCATGATCTCACAGTTGGAGCCCCGTGTTGGGCTCTGTACTGACAGCCAGGAGCCTGGAGCCTGCTTCGGATGATATGTCTCCTTCTCTCTCTGCCCCTCCCCACTTTGTGCTCTGTTTCTCAAAAATAAATGTTAAAAAGAAATAATAAAACTTTTGTTTCCTCCTATTAATAGGTCTTATGTAAATTTAATTCTTAGCCCAGCTAGAAAAACTTTGGACAGAGGGAAATTTCTTCCTCCCCTTCAACGAAATTAGTGGGAAACTGACAGAGTGAGAGAAAGGTACTTAAATGGAGCATCTCAATTTACAAGCTTGTGGGCAGGGACCCTACAATGCCTTGCAAATAGTAAGACAACTCAGTAATTTGCTGAGGCTTAAATGCTTTGGGGAAGGCTTCTGACTTAATTTTGTTCTCAAAAACTAGAAAAAGAATGAGAATTTTACATTTATAATGGGGGAAAATAATCACGTAACAAATGTCAAATTCCAGGTTGGATTTTCTAGGCTATAGGTCTTCTTAGAGTATGCCTACACTGCTCTCATTCTGTTTTTTTTTTCTCCCCAGAATTCATTTTATTTATTGTATTGTATTATATAATATTTTATTTTATTTATTTTTATTTATATATGAAATTTATTGTCAAATTGGTTTCCATACAACACCCAGTGCTCATCCCAAAAGGTGCCCTCCTCAATACCCATCACCCACCCTCTCCTCCCACCCACCCATATAATATTTTAAAGTTTAAAAATTTTTTAAAGTTTAAATTAATTTATTTTGAGAGAGAGGGAGGGTGAGCAGGGGAGGGGCAGAGAGAGAGGGAGGGAGAGAGAGAATCCCAAGCAGGCTCCACACTGTAAACCTGATGTGGGGCTTGAACTCAGGAACCATGAGATGATGACCGGAGGTGAAATCAAGAGTTGGGTGCTTAACCACTGAGCCACCCAGGCATCCCCTCCAGAATTCATTTTGTACTTTCAGGTTTTGTAACCAGAGGTGGTTCAGACAGACTCCCCAAAGGCCCATGGCCCGGACCCCATAAGTCCGTCCCTCTCCTCTACTTTCCCTCTGACGTTTCTTACCAGGGTCTACAAGTGCCAGACGCTTGTCTCGGGACAGAGAAGCTCTTTCCTCCTGGTTGAACATTCTATCGATCATCACCATCTCAGCAGAGGGATTGATCCGCTAAAAACGAGAGAGTCCGGTCATTTCAGATGCCTTTTAACAAGTGCAAACATCCCACTGTGTCTTTGAAACAAACGAAGCAACCAGACATGAGGATTTGGTGTTTAGGTTCTAGTCATGTGCCATTTAGTCACATTTTTTTTAAAGAAATCTTTTTCTTTAAATGTTTATTTATTTATTTTGAGAGAGAGAGAGAGTGCACGCACATGCGAGCTCAGGGGGAGGGGGTGGGGAGGGCAGAGAGAGATGAGAGAGAGAATGCCAAGCAGGGCTCCGTGCTAACAGCACGGGGCTAGATCCCATGAATTATGAGGTCATGATCTGAGCCAAAATCAAGAGTCAGACACTTAACTGCCTGAGCCACCCAGGTGCACCTCTGTTTAGTCACATTTATCCTTATCATGTAGGAATGCATTTTTTTAAATTGTATTTTGGGGGAAAAGATGATTTACACATTGATACAAAATTCAAAAGGTACTAAAGAGGATGTGAAAAATAAGCCTGCCTTCTTGGCTTTCCCTGCCTTTCCCTGGGAGCACCTGCACCTACCAGTGTTACTAGACTCTTCTAGACTGATTTTATGCACACACATGCATTGACATTCTTCTTTATTTCTGCACACAAATGGTAGCAACTACACACATTGTTCTGTATCTTTCTTATTTCCTTCTCTGCTTACTAATATGTTAAAAGTCTTTTCATTGCATGACCTTTTT